GTATCATTATGTATATAAAATATTAGTTAAGAATTATAAAAAAAAAAATAAGCATTTACTTCCTAATGTTTTTCACTATTAAACTAGTTTCAATTATTCTTATCATAAAATGTAAATTAACCAGTGTGTTCATTACTAAATTTCTAAATATTTTGATTCTTTAACCCATATTTTGTGCCATTTTATCCATTTTTATTATAAAAATATGTAACAAAAAAATAAACATCAAAATAAAATGTAAGCTAATGACTTGAGCCATCAGTAGAAAGCATGAACATTGATAAATTCATAAAATTTAATTTTGTCTATATTGGTATATAGTCAATTAGAAATATTTATAGTTTTATATGAAACTAGCTGAATTACCCGTCGTTGCCGGGTTTAAGTATATAAATGTATGTAACCTGCCAAGATTAAATTTTGTTAAATCTATTGAAATTTAAATTAATTAAAATTTTTGAAATAATATTTTATACATATTAATTTAGTTTTTAAGATAATGATTATTATCATAACCTATTCAATAAGTTATAGCTTTTGGCGGCAGATGCTTTGTTCACGATAAATTTTAGCACTAAAGGTTCAAAATAAATGTTTTACTAATAGTTTTTCAATATGTTATCTACAAAACTTCTTTGTAGACAATGTTCTTCACTGATCTATTAGTAGGCAACAAAATCACCAAGCTACTGGATGAGCTTACGCGTGAGCAAGCTACGTAGAAATGCCCATGTGAAAAACATTTTCTTGCATATCTATTCCTGCAAATTTAAGAGTTTGGTCTTGAGACTTGTTTATAGTCATTGCAAAACAGACTTTCAGGGGAAACTGTAATCATTTAAATTCGAACTGATGATCATTCGGAATTAAAGGGATTCTTAGTACAAACACAATTTCCCCTTTTGCACATCCTGTTAAAATTTGACTTTAAGCCTGGTCCCATTGCACAGTTTAGGCGGTTTCAAATTTCGCAACAACATAATAGGTATGCCCACACGCAGAATAAGCCTATGATATGGCATGCCCGGTGGTTTCAATGAATTTAAAATCGACAAAGCAGCCAAGTACATATAATTTACAGCACGTGGGCATACATTTTATATAAGCAAACGTTTTCGTCACGCGCAGCTATAAATATAATATGTAGGATAATCACAATAAACGACAATGGTGCTACCGCGGCTCTATCCGCCGACAACGCGTTAACGCCGACTTAGGACCTTTAGGTTAGGTTAGTTAGGTTTAATAATACATAATTACTTGTAAAAATTTTCTTTTACCGATTTTAACCCTTTTAATTCAAAATTTCGAAAAATCCTTTCTTAGCGCACGTCTACATCATAATAGCTATCTGTATGCCAAATTTCAGCCAGATCCGTCCAATGGTTTGAGCTGTGCGTTGATAGCAGTCAATCAGCTTACTGTTTTATATACACAGACAGATATTCCAAAAACAAGCTAGTTTTGACTAAATGTGTTTAAATGTGAGGGTAGTCCTCATATCACGTCTACTGATGAGTTAACATATCTTCTCTTAATATAATCTTATCAGATACCAATATAAGCTTTATAATCTTTAATGTTAAAAAGATATGAAAAAAATTAATTACCTAATTAGGTATTTGATACTATATAATAATTTTTTGGTTTTATGTTAGATTAAACAATTATTAAACAAATGATAAAACATTTCAATGATCTAATAAATTATACTAGTTAATAGTAATTTAAATTTTAAACTAGCTTAAGTATTTAGTCTAGGGTTGCCATACGTCACAGAAAATCGGGATTGTCACCGGTTTCGGACTTTTTGTCCCGGTGTCCCGAAAAATGTTTTTGGGGCGTCCATATATACCAGCTTAGATGATAAAAAGAAATGTAGTATTGTTTAATTTTTAATTTCGACCATTTTATCTCAAAGTACATTTTTAATCCTAATCGATTAATAATATATATTAAAAACAATTTGTAATTTATACTTATAAATATATAATATATTTTATTTTACAAAAGAAATTTTCATATTATATTACCTGTCATTAATGATCCTCTTCAGTGGTGTATACATAAATTTTATGTGGGGGGATCATTTGCAAACAAATCATTATTTTTATTTTTATCATTACTTTTTTTTTACGTTTCTAACACCCTTACATTAAAAACATTATTTTATAACATTTAAAAAAAGGCCTAGAGGGGATCTTACCTCCACGTTCCCCCCCTTGTATACTCCACTGATCCTCTCACTATATTAAAAGTTATATAAAAAGTATATTACTCGATACTGTGTTTGTGTTGTCCCAGTTTCACCTTATAAACTTATGACAACCCTAATTTAGTCCTGAATAATAAAATTATTTGTATTTTTTTTTTTTAATTTTGTTATTATTTGCACCAAATTAAATTTAATAAATAAATAATTTTAATATTACATTAGCATAAATTATAAACTTGAAAGAATAGGTTTATTTTTCGTTATTTCAAGGGGGAGTAGGGAATTTTTATTTAAATTACATTAATTTCCTCCCTGGAACATTTTTCTATTATGATATTTATATAGATCAAGTCGCTTGAAAATTTTGTCAAAATTTATTACACTAATATTTAAACCAATTATTTTGTTTATAGTTTAGTGATGATGAAGAAGACACAAAACGTATTGTACGTTCACTGAAAGAAAAACGATATGAAGAATTAACAATGACTATCAAACAAATAAGAAATCATAAAAAAATTAAGGATATGAGTAGCTTGCTAACTAGTAAGTTGAAAAATATATTTTATTTAATTGACAGCTATAGAATATTATTTTTTAATATTCTTAAATATCCTTTTCTATAAAGGTTTTGAAGATTTAACTCGAGCATATACCAAAGCATTTAATGCGGTCATATTGAAAGAAGAAAATGGAATAGCTCCACGTTTTTTTGTCCGTTGCTTGGTTGAGATGGAAGATTTTATCAATGAAGTCTGGGATGATCGTATAGGACGTAAAAATTTATCTAAAAATAACTCTAAAAGTTTGGCTTCACTTAGACAAAAGTTTAGAAAGTATGTTAAAGATTTTGAGGGTGATTTAGCTAAATTCCGAGAAAACCCGGATCTTCCTGATCAAGAAGAAGATCAAAAAGAAGATGAAGATTTAGATTCTGATGAAAGTGAAAGTGAAGATGAAGCTCCAGCTGCATCATTTAAAAAAATGGAAGATAAAATACCCAAAGTTAGATTTTTTCTTTTAAATTCTAAAATAATTACTTTGTATTTAGTAGTAGTATTTAGTAGTTCATATTATTGACTAACTTTCTTTTTTTTTTTTTTTTTATTTAGGTACCAAAAACTGGTGGTGAATCTGACAGTGATGATTCTTTCGATTGGGGTAGTGATTCTGAAAGTTCCTCATCAAGCAGTGAAGACGAAGGACAATACCAAAGTATAAGAGAACGGTTTTTGAAAAAGTTAGTAGATTTTTATCTCAATATATGTATTTAATTATAATATAAACTAATTATCTTATTTTTTACTAGATCAACTGATAAAGATGATGATGAAAAAAAAGAAAAGAAAAAAGAACGTAAGGAAAAACCAAAGAAACAGAAACGTGAAGAAGAAGATGAGAGTGATACTGAATGGCAAAAAGTCCGAAGAGGAGTAGCTATTCCGTCTGTAAGTTATTCTAATCACAATTTATATTATGGTTAATTTTTTAGGTAATTTAATCATAAAATATTTAGTATTACTTAATCTTCAATAATTAATATAATAGGAAAAACCAAAAATGTTTGCAAAAGATGCAGAAATTACTCCAGAAGCTGTTTTACGTAAATTGTCTGAAGTAGTTGCAGCACGTGGAAAGAAACGTACTGATCGCAGAGAACAAATTGAACTATTACATGAACTATTGTTGATATCAGAAGCTCATAATTTAGGATTAGGATTAAGAGTAAAAATAAAGATGTCTATTATATCTTCTATTTTTGATTACAACCCTAAAGTATCTGATGCTATGAAGCCAGAAATTTGGAGCAAGTATGCATTCATTGTTTATTGATTGTATATCTAATACAAATCTTTATTATTAATTACAATTTTTTAAATAGGTTGTTAGATTGTATCGTTGAACTTCTAGAATTGATACTTCCTGTTAAAGACACAATATTCATTGGAGAATCCGTAGCAGAGGATGCTGAAACATTGGATAAACCTAATTTTAGAGTACGTGGTTGCATACTTACAATTGTTGAAAGATTAGATGAAGAATTCACTAAACTTTTGAAAGAATGTGATCCTCACAGTAATGATTATGTACAAAGGTTAGTATATTTATATAGATTTTAGAGTATCAACATTTAGTATTCAAAGTTTTATTTTTATTTTAATGAACATATAGACTTAAAGATGAAAAACGAGTATGTGACATAATCGATAAAGTTCAACTTTATTTAGAACATCAAAATATTGAATCTGAAGTTTGTCGTATTTATATGCGTAAAATAGATCATTTATACTACAAATTTGATCCATTAGTGCTAAAACAAAAGAAGGTAACCTTACATAAAATTTTCATAATTCAAAATGACATTTTTACCTGTTTTTTTTATTTAATTATGTATATATACAGTGAAAACTTTATAACGAATCTGAAAATACCAAGAGATTTCTTTCATTTTAGAGAGGGTTTAAAAAAAAAAAAATTATATATATCATTATTTTTACATTATGTTATATTTACGTATTTTATACAATTACTTTATTTAAAATAGTCTGTCATTTTTGTTTGAACTTGTTTATTTTGCTTTTTTTTTTTATGATAACTTTGGATCATCTTCATGAAGCAGTACGTACTTTTCTAATAATATAGCCGCGTCAAGTGCTTGTTGAATACTTGGTGTTACCACTACGTCAGGTTGTTCTTCCTCTTCATCTTCTTCTTGCTCCTTGTCTTTTGTCACTGCATTTAGGAATTCTTCACCAGTTAACGATATTGTTGTAACCCAGTTCTCATCTATTTCTACATAGTCTTGTAGATCATCAGGAGTAAAAGTATACGGAGTATTGAACTGAAAAATACACTCGCTCAATGATGTATCATCTTCTTTTTCAAATTGTTCTTTTCTTCAGCATTGACAAAATTACTACAATGTCCAGCATGACAAAAGGAATGCCATATAGTTTCTGCTATTACTTCTTCCCAGGTTTTACCTAGAAAGTTTACCACATCAAGCATATTGATAGAGACATTGCCATTAGATATGATAATTTCCATCAATATTTTCTTTCTGTAGTGGCCTTTCAAACTTTTTATAGCACTTTAGTCCATTGGGTGTAAGTTACTAATTGTGTTAGCTGGAAAAAATATAATTTCTATGTTCATAAGATTAAATAGATTTGGATAAATAGGACAATTATCTACAAGTAACAAAATTTTTCGCCCCTTTAATTCTGCATCCCATTTTCTTATTTCTTTTCAAAAAGTATTGATGTCATCCACACTGACTTATGTTAGGCATTACGACGATTATAAAATGAACATATTCGATACTGATAATAACGATATTATTACGATATTAAAAGTAGATAATGAAAGAATGTAATTGTTCTTGGACATTTCTTGGAAATTTATAATACGATAACACATAAATTATACTATGAAACATTAAATATTGTTACATTATTGAGAGTGACTAATACATTATAGAAAATGAATTGACAAATATGTTATAAAACAAACAAACCATTCTTATGTAATGTTTGCATTATATAGTTTTTCGTTGTAAAGAGTTTTCACTGTATTTTCAATTTTTTTTTTTTTTAAAGTTAAATTTTATTTTAACACTGTTGTAGGGAGAAATACTTGCATCTCATAAGACAAATGTTCAGATCATGGAAAATTTGTGTAAATATATTTATGATAAAGATGCTACTGATCGCTTAAGAACCAGAGCAATTTTATGTCATGTGTATCATCATGCTTTACATGATAATTGGTTCCAAGCTAGAGATTTAGTGCTTATGTCTCACTTACAAGAAACTATACAACATTCAGATCCTCCAACTCAGGTATAGAATATACATATTTTATATATGATTTGATTTTGAATAACTTATACTTATTTTAATTATAATTATTGCAGATTCTTTACAATCGTACAATGGCTCACATTGGCTTATGTGCCTTCCGTCAAGGTAATATTAAAGATGCTCACAACTGTCTAGTTGATTTAATGATGACTGGTAAAGTCAAAGAGTTGTTAGCACAAGGATTGTTACCACAAGTGAATACATCATTATAGACATAATTTAAAGAATTTAGTACTAATTTTGAGATATATATATATTTTTTTTTTAGAGACAACACGAACGCAGTAAAGAACAAGAAAAAATAGAAAAACAAAGACAAATGCCTTTCCATATGCATATTAATTTAGAACTCTTGGAATGTGTGTATCTGGTGTCAGCTATGCTTATTGAAATTCCATACATGGCAGGTAAAGTGATAAATCATGAATCTAATATAATTATAATATGAGAAATACTAAAATTTGTTTTTAATATTTATTAATATTTTAGCTCATGAATTTGATGCGAGGCGTCGTATGATTTCTAAAACATTTTACCAACAATTGCGATCAAGTGAGCGTCAATCTTTAGTTGGTCCTCCAGAATCCATGAGGGAACATGTAGTTGCTGCAAGTAAAGCTATGAGAAATGGAAATTGGTTGGCTTCACGTAATTTTATAATCAATGAGAAAATGAATGCTAAGGTACTAAAAATTAAGTTTTTGTGAAGTTAATACTTAAAATGTATATTTTATTATAGGTATGGGAATTGTTTTATGAAAGTGATAGAGTCAGAGAAATGTTAGAACGTTTGATAAAAGAAGAATCTTTACGCACATACTTGTTTACTTATTCTCATGTTTACAACTCCATTTCAATGAAAACATTATCAGAGATGTTCGAACTTCCAAAAAGCACAACTCATTCTATCATTTCAAAAATGATTATTAATGAAGAACTAATGGCATCTCTAGATGATCCTACCCAAACTGTTGTAATGCACCGTAGTGAACCTAGTAGGTTACAATCACTTGCTTTACAACTGGCCGATAAAGTTAATAACTTTGTCGACTCCAATGAAAGAATTTTCGAAATGAAACAAGGTAAATTAAAACTAATTTTATTAAGTACTGTTCATTTCAACTTTCATTATTATTATTTTATTTTTTTAGGAAACTTCTTCCCAAGAGGAGGTAATCAAAATCAAGGACAATATAGACAAAACTTTGGTCGGCAAGGTGGTGGTGGACATGGAGGACATGGAGGACATGGAGGACATGGTGGTCAAGATTGGAACAGACAGCGACGAGAAAACCGGGCTTATTAACTTTCTTAAACAATTGATAGTTATTTTCTTTTTCTAAAAATATAGTTGTAAAGTATAAAAATTTAAAAACACTTCCACTTTTATATTAAATTTAACTGTGGATTATTTTCTAAAAGAAATACTCAAAAATTATAATTAAATATTATTTTTTAATATTTATAATTGTATCGATTATTTTATTTACATAATTATAATTTCAAACCAGATGCCCTTAATATGTACCTCAAATAAACAAGATACATGAAAATTACTTTAAGTTAATTATTCTTTATTTATAAAATTAAATCTTGTCTATTCATGAGTTAAATTATCATGTAGCTACTGCAGAAAACCATTTTTCTGGTGGTGAAAGCACACTACCATATTATTTTAGGGATTAATCTGAATGAGTAATAAAACTCATAATTTTTTTTTTCCATAATTTAATATCAAACATCTTATTTTAAACCAAAATTATGATTATTAATCTATAATTTTTCAAACCAACATACATTTGAACATGAGTAATGACAAAAGACAAGAATATCTAAAATATTTATCAATTCATTAATAATATATTTATTAAATTATTAATAACAAAAAATTACTGGCATAACTGCTGTACGCGCATTGCCTAAACCAGTGGGACTGGAATAAGGCAGGTGGACGCGGCTCCTGTACAGGTCGAGATCCCGGTTCGAGTGCTTGAGCACCTCGTAGGCATCGCCTATGAACCGGATACATACGTCGCATGTACTGACCTGAGACTCCAGGTGTTGCGTGCTTGTGTACTGGAGCAGAGCAGAGCAGCTTGCACGAATCTTGCAAAGTTGTATTTAATGCTAAATGACATAGAAATACGTTATAAGGTACCACGGTTAATTATATGAAATTTTATTTTGCATGTTTTTGTATATTTGACATATTTATGCATATTTTTATTTAATTGGGCATATTCAGGGCCGGCGTTAGAAGTATTGACGTCTTGGGCAAAAGCATGTTTTTGCGCCCTTAACCTTTAAAATTTAGGAACCGTAACTGAAACCAGAACCTTTATTTCCAAAAATGAAAAACCGTAACCATAACCATAACCTTAATTATAAAAGGGTTAATTTAGGTCAGTTATTTAGACTGGTAAAACTATGGCAATTACTATTATGTTTGTCCATTTGTCGGTTCAGAAAAATAAAAGTCAAATCTTTTTAAGTTTTTATTATTTTGTATTTTATTTTTGTATGTTTATTAATATATTACAATTGATTATGAGTATATCATCTTGTCTATTAAGTATTAAATATAATTAATGTTTATACAAATTTGTAGCTACAACAGTAGCCAGTATTAACTTTGATTCCTAATTAAAATTAAATTTTAAATTAAAGATATTTATTTCATCAAACCATAATCACAATATTACATAATATTTAACAAATACTTACTATGAGTTGGAATAAAATAACTTATCTAACTCAAAGATATATAATATATTATATCTGATATAATATATATATATATATATATATTAAATATATTTATAATTATTTTTTTAACTATTTATAATAACTTCTATTTTCATGAAATGAAACAATTACAATTTAAACAAGAATAAATAAATAATTTCATATTATTTTTTAATAAATCTCTAATAATCAGAATTAACCGAAATTAACTGGTTCTAGAACCCTTACTCTTTTAAAAAAACCGAAATCGAAACCGGAACTCTTAAAAAATTAATCTAACAACCAAAATCGAAACCGGAACCAAAAACCTATGGGTTCCAGACTCTGGTTTACACATTTGACATTACAAAGCAGATCGTACGAAGCGAGAGCTCATCAAAAACAATAAATTGTGCATGCGTTTGAGGCAATTGTCTTCTTGATTTGCGCCACACTGCGGTATTTTCGCTATAAGGTCCGAACGATTTTTACGTAATCGTCTAGTTATATGAATCTGTTTATAAATGGGTGAATATTTAATGAAAATAATTTTTACGAACTAAATATATATTTTATTTGCACACACAAATGCGGTGGTATGCAGTAAATATTGTTACATGCATTATTTGTACATTAGAACCAGCGGTATCGATGCAGTATTGAAGTAGAAGGCACATCTGTTATATTCTTACTTTCTGTAGGTTGTTAAGACGTATTAAAAGATAAATTAGAAGAAAAAAATGTCAGTTTGGCTCCCGGATCGCCCATAGCTTTCACCGGCCCTGGACATATTAAGGTCCCCACACACTGCCGCGGTGGCGGTGGCGTTAAATTTGTTCACACGTATTGTAATGGGAGTCCGCACACTACTGCGGTATTTCGGCCGCGGTATAATATTGCCGCTGCGATATTTTAAAAACCGCAGCACGCTCGATTTCACCGCCACCGCTCAGCGGTATTTTCAATTGACTTATCAAATATACGCTAATACTACTAGTATCTATACTATCTAATATATATGGTATATATTAGTCTAGACTTCGATTATTTTCTAGAAACTATTCAAGTTATAGTTTAATATACTATTTAACTTAATTAAAAATAATTCATATAAAAATAATCAATACAATATTATATATATATAATGAATATGATACGTACAATAGTATAAATACTTAATATAGTACCTACCAACGTACTATATAGATAAATCAATTTATCAAGAACATAGGAGTCCTAAAAACGCTCAATCAGCTCTACACATTTGTAATGAAAAAATATTTCCAACTGTTCAAAAACTTCTTCTCGTTCTTATTACTTTACCAGTGACAATAGCCACTTCCGAAAGAACTTTTTTGACTCTACGCCGTCTCAAAACATAACTCTGAAATACAACAGGAGAATCTAGGTTAAATGGATTGGCAATGCTAAATATTCACCAGGAAATTAAAATCTCAACAGACGCTGTACTCGATTAACTATCAAACGCATAAAGAAGAATTAATATTAAGTTTTAAAGTGTAAATAAAATACTCACAGGTACATTTTTTTTAAATTTCATAAATTATATTATGACAGTTAACTTAATGTTCAAAATTTTAATACTAGAAAAATAGTTGTACAAAAATGTTTTTAATATATTTATGGTAACCTCCCCCCCATAAACAAATTCTGCGTTGGCCACTGGTCGACAAAATATTTCTTTTCGAGAGCAGAGATTCTGGAATCCTGAATTTTAAAGAACCGATTGAAAATTACAAACATTTTCGTGCCTTATTGCGATTAAGAATTCAAAGTGAAAATACAAATTTAAAAAAACATTTATCTTTATCATCACTTATTTCAACATATATTAGTCCGAGAATTCAAAATGAAATTATCAGTTGCTGTAATAACATAATAACAATGGATAATTCAATTATTTCAAAGATAAATTTTTTTTGTGTTTGTATAAAGTGATACTTTAAAATTGCGTGAAGATTTTTGAAATTTATTCCTGTAACTAGTTTAACGGGAAAAAGTCTCAATAAAACTTTATTAGACTATATAAAAAGTATTGGTATAGATTTTTCTTTCATGATTGGTCAAGGATATGATGGGGCCGTATCTATGAGTGGTTGTTTTAATGGCGTACAAGCACATGTCAGAAAAAATGATATGGCTATTTATTTTCACTGTGCCTCCCATAATCTTAACTTGGCTATTTCAGATGCTTGTGATCTTCAAAGTATTCGAAATTGTATGGGTGTACTTGGAACTGTATTCAATTTTTTTAATACTCCAAAACGGCAAGTTTTTTTAAGTACAATTATTAACGTAGAAACAAATGCAAAAGCCACGAAACTTAAAAATGTATGCTCCACAAGATGAATTCAGCGACGTGAATTTTTTTGAATTTCAGACCAAATATTGGGGTATATTTTTGATAATAATTGATATTAGTGGTTAAAGTGGAAAGAATGTTATGGGGGGACTGTATGCATCAAAAATTGAGGAGCGTCCCCTACCTAATTCTAAATCTTACCAACTTTTTTTAGGAAACCCATGAGGTCTAAGCCTCTTCTGTTATACATATATGTTTTTAAAAATTTATTTTCATAGGGCGTAAAAAAAATTTTCCCCCAAAGAAAAATAATTCTATACATATGCATTCTCAGTAAAAATAAATTAAAATACATTAGTACTGTAATATATAAATACAAATAAATATAAGTACTTTATATATTATAACCAGTGGCGTAGGTAGGATTTTCTTAAGGGGGGTGTTAATTATAATTATTAAATATTATATATAATACGTATGAACTAAAACTTTTATTTTAATTAATTAATATGTATACATAATGTCTGTAATAGAGATGTAATGTATATTCGAATTTGGATAGCTTTACCATAAATTATTCGAATATCAGTATTCGATGCTACAATACCTATTATTATTAAACGTTTTGTGTTGCACGAAAACGTAAACGAATAATTTTCGTCACGTATTGTCGCAATCGCGATAATGTTAACCTGTATATATGTAATTAGTATTGTGCATTATTTTATATGTCATATTGTATTATCGATTTACCTATATTCCTATAATAATGTAATATATGATACGACTCAAGGGGGGTGTCATATCTACCAAACACCCCCCTTGTATACGCCATTGATTATAACTACATATTATTTCTTTTTTCCATTTTTTAAAATTAATCAATAAAATAAATATCATGTAATATTGTAATATTATAATAAGTATTGTATATTCAATATTGTATTTTAGTGACCAATGCCATTAAACGTCCACCCGGACTTTTGGCGACTTAAATTAAAGAGGACGCATAATCTTACCTTAAATAAGAAGGGGGACTCTGTCCCCCCACTTTAACCACTGATTGATATATTATATTACATACTTGTTTATTTATGTTATTCAATAAATGTTTCATTCAATGTTTATAAATATTATACCTACATGTCTACTTTTATTTATTGATAAATGTATACAAGTCAAAAGTATTAGTTACTGTTTATTTTACCAGCACAACCATTAAAATATAAGTAAATCTATCAAATTACCGTAGCTTTTACAGTTATATAATTATAATTATTACTAGGGCTAGGATTTATATGGATTTGCATGTTTTTTTCCTCAAGTCCAAATTGATTGGTTTTCAGTATGTCCACGATTTGAGTTATTGTCGATTAAATAAAACCATTTTTACATTGCATATTTTGAATATAATGCATATAACTGCATATTTATAGATTATTGAGAATCTAATTTTTAAACTTAAAATGTCAAATTTATTTAATTATTTTTAAGTTATTGTTAATTTTAAATGGTATTTATCTAACGAACGTCTATTTTTTTAGTTGTCGTAAATATACTACGTATATAATCTTATCTTGATCGGACGACCGATATAATTATCTATAAATTATTTTAAGACGTACTTATTGGTGGTCTGCACGGGCCAAAAATGTTAGGGCCGGCCCGGTACGAACTTTCTGCTAACGTAAAGTCATGTGTTTTACAACCGCGCGTATCGTGTCACGTTTTCGAATTACATTTAAGTTCATACGCGCCGAACTGACGAAAGTACATATGGGTTTTTTCGATCGGTACGTTATGAACTTAAACAATGTAAATTAAAAAACGCCACGTATGAACGCTCGGCTGTGGAACGGGCCTAAAGCTGTAAAGATATATTTTAAAACTCGATTCGGTCCAAAAGAATGTTTTATCAGTAAAATTGAATTTTTGTACAAGTTTTTACATTATAAAAAAAACCCGGCAAGGACCGTAATAGATTTAAAAATTTAAAAGCCCGGCCCTAAGTCCGTGTTTCATTTAAATAAAGCCCGACTCGGCCTGGATTTAAATGTTAATAAATGTTAAGGACCGGCCAGGATGGTAAATTAATTAAATTAATTAATTTAATGGTAATTTAAGTACTAGATACCTGAATGGGCCACATGCAGGTATCTAATACTTAAACTATGATACAGTACATAAGTATTTCATTTCATTAATACGACTTATAAACTATATCAGTATAAACTAATATTTAATGTAATAATAACAAGTTATGATAAATAATAATTCTAGAAATAATAAAAGTTTGTTTTTGCATATTTTGGTAAATAAAATGCACATTATACAATTTTTTATTACATATAAATCCTAGCCGTAATTATTACAATATGTACTACTATAATATAATACAACATAATATAGTAAAGTAGTATGGTAAAATGATATAATAATAAATGTGGTTGAGATAATGAAATATTAAATTTATATCTATTTTTACTAAAATAAAAAGGTGGTGATTACCGGGTTGGTTCCCTTAAAGTTTAGATAATTGTTTTATTGGAACTTGGATATCATGTGGGCAACTATATTTTATTTTTCACGAGCCGGTCTATCTCATGCCTATACGCCCCCCCCTGCATCCGGATCAAAGATTACGTTTCCAATTATTACAATTCGATGTGAGCAACACTGTAATTATAGATCACGTAACACGGGTCCATAAGGATTTACGATTAATCAATTCATGGTACTAAGTTATTCGCTGAACTAGCATACTTAACTGACGGGTCGATCGGTTCGACAGTTTCATAACTGACCAAGTGTCCAGTGAACGATCAACGAACGGTTAAAGATGACAGGTGGTAACGGGGGAGGAGAAATAATAGAACGCGTGAACCATCTGCTGAATGCGAGTGTGACAGACTTTGGACCATATATTAATATATTATTTGGACGGACAATTTATTCTTCCACGGCTCAACGGTCGTTTGATATCCCTCCTACCTACCGCTTCGTCATGCATGGCCCGACGGCGGGTTGCGCAGGCGCCGTGCACGCTCTCGCGACGCACTACTGCGGCGGTCGTGAACGTATTTTCAATTTAACGGTTATTCTTATTTCCACAACGTTTTGTTCCGCACTTGGAGCCTTCCTGACCACTGTTCGCAGTCGCCGTAGCCACTCCTTTATTCGAAACGTCAACACACAACAACCAACAAACACGAGAAACGATCAAGTGTTGACCCTTGTCAATTCGACGTTCGTATCCGTCGCGGCCAGTCACCAACAACGCTACTACCACGACATCGCCGGACTGGATGCGCGCCATACACCACCACCCCCGTACCGGTTCCGTCGGTTGTCGCTCACTTCGTCTAATCAAAATCAACAATATCGTATTATTATCGTCCTGGTCGCAGTATTATTAACGGATCAAGTCCGCCGTGTGTCGGTATTACTGTATTATTGTTTTTCTTTGACCGATCCAACGGCTGATAGTTTTTGTCAGATAAACGGTGATTTGCCACTTGTCATCATGTCGTCCAGGTCCAAAGAAGACGAAGTTAGAATCCCAGAAATGATTTTCGATAACAAGACCAACAGGAAGTATCAGCGAGGCAATTTTCTGGGAAAGGTAATGTTCTCGTTGTTCGTGCGCGTGCACTCGGTTGAACATGATTTCAGGCTGGCGGAATTGCATTACATGTAATAACAACAATTTCGAGTGTTTTATGCGAATACGTTGTTGACTTGGTTTAATTAAGAAAAAAAAAAATTATACTCGTTGATATTCAGACCCTCGGCGATGTGTATTGCGCACTCATTGTTGTTTAGTACATTATTGTTAAGTCTGCTGTAGGTCTTGCCGTTTAAATTTTTTGAAGAGAGTTAATTTTAAATAGTAAAAATTATTAAATGATTATTACTCGTAAATAATTAAAATCTTAGTCTGGAGTATTATATTATATTATTATAAGTAAGGTACGATCAGTTTCAAATTAAAAATTCAATGTCAGGTATATACAGTAAATAAAATCGTGATTCACTCAATTTTATTTTGAAACCGATTGTACTTTACAAATATAATAATTTTTTAGATTAAGCTTTTATATATTTCTATATATAAACTATTTGCTTACCTATTTATACTTGAATACACAATTCTAAAGATGTTTCTGATTTAGGGTGGTCAGATAAAATTAAAAAAAATCCAAGACAGTAAATTTTAATTTGACCTAATCGCCCTATCTAACTATTACTACTTAATATTTTTATCTTAAAATTTTTTACTAGTGGGTTTCATTATGAAATATTAAACACTAAGTATTAAAATTATAGAAATAGAAAATATACTTTTATTTTAAACAAAAACTAATTTTAAAATTTTAAATACAGTTTACATATGTTTATACTTCATAGTGACATGTAAAATTTTTTAAGCTTTAACTTCAGCTGTCATTGTATATTTTTGCGTGTTGTGGACGTTCTTCAGAAACAAGTGGTTTTTTATAATTTTGTTTTAAAATTCCATGCCACTTTAACCATATGTTTTGATAATCAAATAACTTTCTACAGTTGCCACATCCATTTGATTACAAACGTCGGTCCAAGTGGATCATCATTGTTATCAATGAAAACACTCGTTCTATTGATGCATTTGAACCCGACAATAATAATAATAATTATATGTTGATAGCTAAACAATGCCTTATCCTAAAAAACTTTTGGGACACTGGAACACGATTTCCTAAACCGGTAACGTCCTGGAAAATTCGGAACGAATGGTCACTCTATCCAGATTTCCTATTCATTTTTAACACCTGTTGATTTTAGAAAATCTCCCTTTGTCTGAGGTTATGTTAACTTCATTTAGTCAGAAATGTGTTGAAATATTATTATTTCTTAGTTTTATGCATAATTAATTAGAAATTATATTAATATTTGAATGACTTTTTACTTTATATATTTTATTAAATTAACTATCAACTACTATACATTTTGAAAATTGAAGCAATTACTCTTACTGTACCTACTTTATACAATATTCTCATCTCTATATAATTATATAATTTAATGAATTATTTTTTATACGTAAAACTAATATTCAATTAAACTTATATGTACATTGTAAAATTAATGTAGTAATTTCTTTATTATAGGGAGGTTTTGCCAAATGTTACGAAATTATAGACATGAGAACAAAGGAAATATTTGCTGGAAAAATTGTTTCCAAAAAATATCTTTTGAAACATAATCAAAAAGATAAAATGACCCAAGAAATACACATCCATAGAATGTTGAAACATACAAATATTGTTATGTTCCATAGTTTTTTTGAGGATAATGATTTTGTTTATATAGTTTTGGAACTTTGTCGTAAAAGGTCAATGATGGAGTTACACAAGTAAGTAATTATAGTTTTTTATTAATATGTTCAGAATTAAACTATTAGATGTTTAAATTATTATTATTAATTAATTATTTTCTTGTAAGCCATTATGATTATATGACAAATGTTAGTATATTAATATTTTACTAGTATTTACACAAATAACTTTTCATACGATTTTAACTATCTAAATATTTTCAAATTTTATTTTTTTAAAAAATTAATAAAATATCAGATTTCAACATTTATAAATATTATGGTTATTAAATAAAGTTAATTTATCTATGTAATTTTGTGATTTAGGTCAAATATGCTAAGGAGTTATTGTCATGCAATGTGTAAAGCCTAGTGTGTCATTCAGTATCAGGTTTCTAAGTTTAATAAAATATTGATTTTTACTAGAATTTTGTCCACAGTGTTCAAGTTTAAAAATTAAATGTATAAATAAGGAATTTGTTTTATTTGAATAATTAATATATTGTATACAATTCGAATATATTTCTAAATAAAAATTAGTTTTTAATCAAATAATTGAATCGAAGAAGGATTTAATCATTAACTATTAAAGATTGTTGAATTTATTAAAATAAAATAAATATATATATAATTTCTAATTCAACCTGTTTATTAGTTCAATTCCCATGACATATGATAATTTTGACATCATTAAATTTAAGAGAAAATTGGGTATATTTTAAATTAAAAATTCAAAAGTATTGATTATTATATCTAACCAGGATAACAGACATTACAATAATAATGCTTGGAATATGCACACAGAATATTAATTATTCACTTATGCAGCTACATTTTATTTTTAACTAAAAATATAGATAGACAGATGGAAACTTATGGAATGTTTAGAAGATATTATTAAAGTATTGAATTTCTAGACTATATTATGATGATAAATTAATAAATTAAAATTCTTATAGAACACATTTAGATTTTTTTTTGAAATATTCTTGTGTATAGGTCTAAAAAAATGTTTGAAGTGGACTTATTTGATTAAATAAAGTTTAACAAGTAATATTAATAAATAGTGAAATATTTTAAAAAATATAATCTTTGAAAAATGAATCAAAAATAATATATATTTAATTATTGAAAATAAAGATTCACAAAATCTATTATAATTTAATAAAATGCTTTCCATTTTTTGTTAAATGTGTTTGTATTCAACAAAATTAATAAATATATATCATATCTTATCATAGTTTGACATTATACTATGAATTGTTTGTTTTTAGGAGAAGAAAAACTCTTACAGAACCTGAAACTCGTTATTATGTTTATCAAATTCTTGAAGGTACACTATATTTACATCAACAAGGCATTATTCACCGTGATTTAAAATTAGGAAATCTATTTTTGAATGATGAAATGGAAGTAAAAATTGGAGATTTAGGTTTAGCAGCTAAAATTGAGTTTAATGGACAACGTAAAAAGTATTAGTTGCTTTTCATTTAATGAATCTTAAATATATATTTATAACTCAATTTTATTTTTAGAACTTTATGTGGTACTCCTAACTACATTGCTCCAGAAATTCTTAGTAAAACTGGGCATAGTTTTGAAGTAGATGTATGGTCCATTGGCTGTATTATGTAAGTTATTGTATTTAAATTATCAAAATTCAAAATATCTTTTGTTAATTATGTTTTAATATATTTTAGGTATACACTACTGGTTGGTAAACCACCATTTGAAACTAATTCTTTGAAAGAAACATATGCTAAAATTACAAAATGTGATTATAATCTACCTTCTACTTTACATAAGAATGCCAGTACTCTTATTAATATGATGCTTCAGTGTGATCCTAAAAAGCGACCTCAGGTTTCTGAAATAATGAAAGCTGACTTCTTTACTACTGGTTATATGCCTAAAAAGTTACCAGCATCTTGTCTCACAATGGCTCCTCGCTTTGATTCTATTAACTATAGAGAGTCGATTTCTAATCGCCGACCACTTAATGGTAATTTTTTTTAAAAATATTTCATAATTTAAATATATCTATAATATAAATTTTCATTACTTAGAACTCAACAGTCCAAAAGCTATTATTAAAGCTATTGCAAAACCCCAAGACCCGGTTAGTAAATTACCAATGTTTAATATACCAAACAAACCTACCAGTGGAAATGGAGTATCAGCCAATGAGTGTAAAGAATATATGATAACACTCGAAAAAGAATTAGAAAAAGTATTGAAATGTAAACCATCCATGAGAGGAATGAAAAATATGGGTACTAATTTGATAATTATAATAATACAATTACTTGTGAATTATTAAATATAATATTTCGTATTATAGAAGAAAACACTGATCCAGCTGCTCAACCTCTAATTTGGGTCAGTAAGTGGGTAGATTATTCGGATAAATATGGATTTGGTTATGAACTGTCTGATGATTGTGTTGGGGTTATGTTCAATGATTTTACACGCATTGTTCTATTAGCTAATTTCAAGTAAGTATTCCTGTAAATAGTTATTATTTTTTTCTCGATTATCTAAATAATATTTTAAATATTTTAGGGATGTCCATTATATAGAAAGAAGTGGTGCAGAACAATACTATACTGAAGATAATACTCCGCAGTCATTAGAGAAGAAAATGAAGTTATTAAATTACTTTAGGCGTTATATGAATGATCATCTCATTAAAGCTGGTGCTGATGTATTAGCTAAAGATGCAGACCAACTTAGTCGTACGCCATATTTGTACCAATGGTATAGGTCTACTACATCAGTTATTATGCAACTTACTAATGGCACTTTACAAGTATGTTTAAATGGATATATATGTATTATTAAAATTAGATTCTAATTTATTTAATTATTATTTTAGATAAACTTCACGGATCATACTAAAGTGATATTATGTCCATTAATGAATGCTGTGACTTTTATTGAAAATAGTGTTTTCCGTACTTATCGTTTTAAAACAATTGCTGAACACGGATGTAGTCCAGAATTAGCTAAGTGCTTAGAATATGCTTACAGAAAACTTGGTTCTATATTAAAAGACATAGAAGTGTAATAATTTATTAATTATACTTGAAATTTGACTAGTATATTTAAATCATTTATAGTTATTATTAAAACAACTGTATGTTAAAGGCATTATATTTAAGATTGTAAATAATTTAATAATAATTCTCATTCGTATATTTTACTGCTATTATTTTTATTAATTTTTTTTTTTTCTATATTAAAGCTTAGATTTAATGAGTTTCATTTTTTTTATTATTATTATTATTATTTTTTTTTTTTTTAGATTAAAATCTTCCAATGGAAAGATAAGAATTTGAAAATAAAAATGAGTATTGAAAACACATTTTATTTGAAAAATGAATTAAAATTTTAGCACTAATTATTTTCTTTCAAGTCTCATTAAACAAACTCCTTTTCTGTTATTATTAACATGTACTATATACCCCCATTATGTAAATGTTACATAAAAATAATGCCTATAGTTAATTATTGCTCTAGTTTGTATTCAATAAAATTTATACTTTTGCATTTAAGTGATTTGCTAAAATAGTTATATATGATAAATCTTTGTTCATTGAGATTATAATTCAAACTTTAGTTTTATTTTATTAGAACATGACAAGATAAAACATTTTTAATTTATCTGCTTGTTTTTTGCTAATTCAAAACAATGTACAAGTGCATTAGTTACAAGTACAATATGATTTTTCATAAAACAATTACTTTTATTGATTTTATAGTATTTAATTTTTATAATTGAGAAATGACATTCATAATGTTTTAACATTGTGTTGGAAGCTAATTGCTAATTGATATATAGTAAAATATATTGTTTTCTTTTCATTTAGAGATGTATAAAATGCCTAGTTTTTTTAAAACATTCTGTTAAATAAAATATATTAATTATTATATATTCTTATATTAAATGTATATGATATATAATATATATTGATATCTTTATTGGAGTTCCTATGAAAAGTAGTTTACTTTTAAGTCTTACTTAGGGTGATCTTTATTATTAAAGTAATAAAAAGATTAATATTTTTGATTTCTTGCCCTATTATATTGTTTATTCCCATAAAAAAGTTGTTATTAAATATTTGACCATGTTTAACTACTTCACAAACTACCAAGGTGTTAAATAATTTCAAAATTGGGTAGTTCTGTTTTTTTTTAGTTTTAAATTTGAAATAAATAATTTTATAATAAGTTATCAAGTAAAATTAATGAAATATAATACTTTAAAAGAAAGATTATTATAATTTATATGACACATGCAATTTGAAACGTTATAATTTGCTAATTTAAAAATAAAGTAATATATCTACAAAGTTTCTCAAATATGTATGAATACCAAATTTGTAAAATTAAAAAGTAACTATTTTATCATTTTTATTAGCAATATTTATTTATTTGACTATTTGAATTTAATAAATTTGACAACTCAATTATATAAGTGATTTTAAATGTACAGTGCACGGTAGTATACAGTATAAACACAATATAACTATCTATAATTTGTAATTTAAATAATTATCAAAAATTAAAGAACATTCCTATTTTGTAACTATTTAACCTCTTGGTGGCATATGAAAAGGTGGATTAATCATAATTAAATTTAACAATGTTTACTTTTTTATAGTAATAAATAAAATTGGATGTGAAGAAATTAAATATTTAATAAAAGATCAAAAATAAAGTCCACTACTGTATTTTTATTTTTATTATTTGTAGCATAGATAAGTTGATTATTTTTATAGACAAAAATAATCATCTTAAAATGCATCAAAGCTACAAACATTTTACAAGGTTTCTTTTAAGCCAGCTTATACAATTAAATTTTCCTGTTGGAATAAATGAATCCTTTTGATTTATTAGTAGTTAATGCTTAAAGTGGACAGATACTCTAAGAAAACAAAATGTTTTTCATTGTTTTAAACTATTATTTTTTCTTATTTGAATGCAGACAATCAAATGCTTCAAGTATTTTGTTTTATTATTCGATAAAGTAAATATTCACATTTATAATACCTTGTTGGAACTTAATGAAAGGTATGCCCTAAGAAAAGATATACTCCCATCATTTAAATATTTGTAAATATAATATTAATATTGTTAAATATTTTATAATCACATATAATTTCTACATGATAATATTGGTTTTTTTATTTAGTTGAAATTAAATAATAAGCCGTTGGAAACACAAACTTAAAATAGATATCTGATAAAAAATATCCAACAAACATTACGTTATAAACAAATTCTTAAAATAAAAGACTATTTTTCTATCAAGAACAGTCTGAAACATTCAATATATACCTATGATACTACTAGTTAATCTGTAAATTAGAACAAGTACACTTGCTATAAAAAATATTTTTAAATGTTAGAACATATAGAATATAATTTAAATTTAAGATATATTACAAAGTGAATTCAACTACAATATACATCTAATTATTTATTATTATTAGTATTAATTATTCAATGTATATTAACAATTTATAAGTTAACTAATTGTTATTTCTCGATCTATTTTGTTTTTTTTTTAACATTGAACTTAAATCAATACATTTTAACATTAAACAATTTTTATTTGAAATGTAAAAGTATAGATTTCCATATAGTTCTTTATAAGGTGTAAAAATAACGATAAAAAAAATCAATAATGTCAACAAAAGAATTTGTTTTTTATTTAGAGTTTATTTTTCTTAGAAAATAATGATTTTGGAAAAAATGTTGTTATAATACTTTTTATATATATCAATGGCGAGCCGAATATAGGTCTAAATGAAGCCCAGGCATCAAGTTAAGTAGGGGTGGGTGGTTGTTGGATAATAATATGTAAATCTCATAATTATCGTATATATTTAGGTAGAGGAATATTGATATATGAGTTCTGGATGAGATGAATTTAAATATGGGTGATAAACTAGACTTTGCAATTGGCATCAAAAAAATGTTTATCTCGGCACGTCACTGATATATATATTATTGTATTCTTTAGTTAAAATTCTGTACATTTTTATGCTAATTGCAATAGATTTTTACATACATTTGAAAAACAATTAAACTACCTACCATCTTCTGCCATTTTTCAATCCTAAGTCGGCACCAGAAGGAATTGAGTATGTCTTCAAAATTTTACCCAAATGACTCTTATGTGACATAACAAATCTAGTTGATACAGGCTTAATAAAATTCAAGTTTAAAAATTAAAGACCACCCTAATAAATACATTTTAAATGCTACTAAATTAACTGAATTATATAAATAATTTTACAATATTACATTTATTTTTCATACGATTTTATTTATTTATTATTCATAAATAATTTTCCTTTGAGAATGCCAAAAAATCGATTTGTTTTTATTTAGAATCATCGTAACAATTTTGCCATCCCCTTAAATATTTCAGAGGGCTATTGCCTCCTCAAAACACTCCTTAAATACGGCCCTGAGTATACTGTATTAGCATTAGTATTTACCAAGCGTGCACCCAAGATTCTTGCTTGGGGAGGGAGCTCTCCAATTTATCAAGTTTTCTTTGTACAGGTACGAGTAAACCATTACCATTAATTTTAAAATTATTTTTTTATTACCTATTTTTTTTTATTATTATTATTATTATTATTAGCAGCACTTACCTAGTGCATAGTAATCGATAGTGCGTATTTAGAATACACTAGAATCCATAAATCTAAAAATAATTTTAAATTAAATCGGCGATTGCCCCAACCTCGAATACGTTATCGTGTACTATTATATTAAACTATATGTGTATATCAAATATAATAATCAAATTTGAAGAAAAAAAATATTCATCCTTCATAGTAATACTAATTAAACTACTAATAAAACAATAAGCTATAATAATATATAGTCTAATATACAATATTTTTGAGGGTCTTCAGCCTCAAAACCCCTTTCTTGGGTGTGCCAATGGTATTAACAATAATTATAATTATTGTAAATACCATTGATTATATATATATATATATATATATATATATAGGTATACTAATTATTATTTATTCTATTGGTCATTAGAACATAAAGCTGGGTTAGATTAATTTATGTTTATCTTTATTAACATATACCTATGATAGAACCCAGTGGCATAGACATGATTTCTGAAAGGGAGGAAGGGTTAAAATAAAGAAATCGACAACTAAATGGGAGAGGAAAATTGGAAAAATCTCTCACCCTTTCAAAACATTTTTACTTAGTATCGACAACTGACTATACTTTTATTGAAATACGAAAGCAAAGTATTATTTTTTCTTTCATTACTCGTATTTGATTACTATATAACAGTAATAACTAATATTAAAAATTATAACAATGATATGGTTACCAATATTACTGTTTAATAACTTTATTATTTTTATTCACTGTTGGGTATAGTTAATTTTTTTTGTTTGACTATACAATGCGCTTTTTCTATTGCCACTTCTCTCATTCTTTCTGCGCGGGTATTAGTGGTTAATTGAGAAAGACGGTTAATGGGTAGACAGATTATCAAAGTTCTACTCTGTATTTAATCAATACAAGTATATGCAATCAATTTTAACATCACATTCCTAACAGCAGCGCAATAACGAAAACAGAGGGAGAGATCTTGAGGATTATCTTAGAAAAAAAATTTTTTCTGAAATGTATTTTGATTTTTTTTCTAGTCACCAATTTATAAATTTAACACTCCCTATCTTAATCTCAAGTGTAACGAGACATTGTTACCTACGCACTTCTCTGATTTCTCACGTATTAATAGAGCCAGACTGAGTCAAAAATTTCCACCGGGGAAAAAAAACGGCCTACTTTGATATACTAAAGGTATAAAAACAACCATAAACAAACGTATATTTTTATATAGGTAATATTATTGCATATTATTTTGAAAATTTGAACACTTAATTATATTATTAAAAATTAAAAGGCCATTTATTTCAAATTTATAAGGTTTCTAAAGCAAGCACATTAGAAAATGCGTCTGTCTATCGACACAGTGAGCCTAAATCGATAAACCTAAAAAAAATTCCCAATGAGTAAAAAAAAGTGGCCTAATTCAAACAAGTGGCCCACCGGTAAACTTCCGGTAATCCGCCTGTCCAGTCCGGCCCTGCATTTTAATAAAATATACAGTATGATAAGCAATGGCACAAACAAGGGTGGT